ACGAAATTTGTGATTATAACGCTTCACAGCAGGAACATTATAAATTCCTATTCGAGGAGCATTTGCAAGATGTTATAAGGAAATTAAATGAGGATATAGAGGCGATGATACCAAATCTAACGATCATTGACGACATGAGCGAACCGGAACAATTTCGTCATAATTATATACTTTTACAAAACTTCATTAGACAATTGAAGACTTTCGATGACTATGTCCAGTGGATTAATAAGGAAGAGAAGTTATTTAAAATGGCACAAACGCTATATCCTAAGCTGGAAGTTATGAAGGGATTCATAAAACCATTTGCAGAATTAATGAAGTGAGTGAGTGTACTTTGGGAGAGTTCTTAGCGATTTTTGTTATACAAATTTTTCTTAATGGTTCAGCAAATGAATTCAACTTCGCGAGACAAATAATTTGCGTAAAAATCTAAAATTTACATATTTCTAGATACAAAATAATAGTGTATTTTCATATACTTTCAAATATCTTTGTTAAAGATCTTGCATTGAATGGATGCGCTACCTAAATGTTTGGATGTATGGACCTTTCGAGTATCTGGAGCCGAAATTTGTCGAAGAAACCACAGATGACTTCTTAAAAGAGTTCCAGAAAAATCAAAAATACTATCGCGTGAAAATTCGACAAGATCAAATAGAAAATCCGATATGCATGTTCAGGGTAAGCTAGAAGATTATGCGTGACTTTTTTCTCTAACGCAAGATTAAGTTTAAAAGAATACATAGAAGAAGAAGATAGAAATATTTCAATGGAATATCACCACAAATTATAATCCTCTTTCACAGTACAACTCTATACTAAATTTTTCAATTGTGCAGAGGAGAACTCAAAAGGCTTTTCAGACTTTCAGCGCTCAATTCGGCACATAAAACTTATAACTGAATAAGGCGCTGAAAGCTGGAAAAATCTCACATATTAATCTCCGACTATTTATAAACAGCTATATGCCCCACATATATGTATAAATATTTATATTGATAGGGGTCTAAATACTATCCTTTTTAACAGTAGATAGAACCCCAAATCCAGTTTTTCAGACTTTCAGCGCCCCAATCAGGTTTAACGGCAATGGAGTAAGTTATACTCATTAAGATAGCAACTTGAATTACTCCTATTAATGATTGAAAATAAAAATACCATTCGAGAACTTAATGAATTACTGCTTGGAAAAGAAATGTAAAAATGACCTCACTCTAAAGAACTTGGTCAAATGTCCACCGATATATAGTTAGTGTGTGTGCTAGGTCAGCGTAATTGCATGGCAAACCAACCTACGAGGAAGCGAACCTCTCTATCTGACGTCAACTCTTCTCACCGCTATATACAAATAAGAGATGATCGACAGCACCCACTTGTAGGACAACCAGACAGATCTGCCCCGGTTTCGAAAAGAGAAAGTCCCACACACTCATTCGCTCTCTACTTTGGCTGGTGCTGGGCCAAACAATCTATCGTAGTCCGATGTTTCAACTGTTATTTTGGTTCGGTCACCGCAGTAACCACGACGGTAGGGCCGAAACTCAATCCGAGAAACATTAAAAAAAAAATATTTTTTAATAGCGGGCGCCCCCTGGCAGGAAATGCAAACCTTCGCTGCATTTCGGCCATAAACCGAGTCTCACAAAAACCATCTGCCTTTCGAAGGCGGCGTAAAACTGTAGCTTCCTCCATTTTTATGACAATAACAAGGCGTACACCACATATTTGAGTATGGGCTCGGCCAAAGAATATTTTTTATACATAGTCAAGAGAAGCCTTGCGCCACCTAGGTTTTAAGAAAAGCTTCATCTGTATACATACGTCTTTATACATATCCTAACCTAAATCAATGCATTAAATTTCTCAAGTAAACATTTGTACGTCTATTCATAATTGTATCATTCTTCGTAGGGTCAAACAGAAGATCCTGACNACCGGCGTATTTATCGTGAACATTATGTGCAATCCCGCACTACGTAAACGACACTGGAAAGAGATGTCCGAGATCGCGGGGTTTGATATAACACCTGATGCAGGCACAACACTTAAAAAGATTATTGACATGAATCTGGACACTAAGCTCGATCTTTTTGAAATTATTAGCATTGGCGCAAACAAAGAACTACAGCTACAAAATAATTTACATGCAATGATCAAAGAATGGGACTCCCGAGTCTTTCCTACCGGCCCCTACAAGGACACAGGTGTGATGATACTTTCCAATTTGGACGATATACAGGCATTGTTAGATGATCACATACTCAAAACCCTTACAATGCGTGGCTCAGCCTTCATGAAACCATGCGAAGAGGAAGTGTTGGCCTGGTATGAAAAGATAATGCGCGTAAATGCCACACTCGATCAGTGGGGCAAGGTGCAGTCGAATTTCCTATACTTGTTACCGATATTCAGCTCGAAAGATATTGTGGCGCAAATGCCGGAAGAAGGCCGTCTGTTTACGGTAGTTGAACAGACGTTTACCCGCAACATGGCTTTGGTGTTGCGTCAACCGCTGGTAATGGAGACCGCGCCCCAAGCCGGACTACTCGAATCACTAATAAAAGCAA